CGAATTTCAAAATATACACACATTATCTATTCTCTCTCTCTCTCTCTCTCTCTCTCTCTCTCTCTGGATAAAAGTAATTTATTTAGAAGAACCAAAGAGAGAAAGAAAGAATATTCTTTAACCAAAACTAAAATGATGATGAAGAAAGAATCCATCTTGAACAACAACAACAAATTCCTATAGTTTTTTCTTCCTTCTTTTTGTGTTCATATCAAATGAATTTTCAAACAAACAAAAAATATTGAAATTTTTGTTTCCAAATTGGATTTGATTTAATTTTGAAAAAAAAATTCTAGAATTTCATCAACAACAGCAATCATAAGGAAAAAAATAAACGTGTATTTTCCTGGAATATATATAAATTCTATCGAGCGAACCGAAATAAATAATCTGATTTTGTTTGAGTGCAAAAAAAAATTTGATTGATTGATTGATTCATAGGTGAGAAAAAGTAAGAAACAAGCAAGGTTAAAATAGGCAAGAATTTCAACAGGAAAGAAACCCAGCTTAAAACCGATAAATTGCTTATTTGAAAAAAAAAAGAAATAATCGATTGATTCTCGGTGTGTTTACAAGTAATTATTATTGATTTTTCGGTTATTATTTGACCACCACAACAGCAACAACAAAAATGATACGTCTTTATTTATTGATATTTGGATTATCAATGTGCAATTGGATGATTGCAGAAGCACAAACAACTGCTAATGAAAGTGAAATTGAAACTGAAACTGAAATTGAAACAACAACAACAACAACAACAACACCGATAACAACAACAACAACATCGAAAATCGATATTGATTTTGATATTTCATTTTGGAGTATAAATCAATTTATTTGGGGTTTTATTTGTTATTGTTTATTTGGTTTATATGTTTTATATTATCAAGAATCAATATTAAAAGTTTGTAGATGTTATCGACATAAAAATAATTCAATTCATCATTTAATGTCAGCCACAACGAATAATGAAAATGTTGATGTAAATAAGAAAAAATGTCATCATGATTGATTGATTATTTGCAAGAAATAAAATTTGAATTTTTTGAATTTTTGAAAAATTTTCGTACAAATTTGTTTACCGTTTAGCTCGATAGGTGGCGTTACTAGTTGAAATAATGACGATGAAAATGAATTTTTTTGATTTTAGAAAAGCAAAATTTTTAATCAATTTCAAAAAATGACAAAAGTAAAAAATCCTGATCAACAAAAAAAATTACAACTAAGAGCTGCTGCTGTTTACCAAACTGAACATTCATTACAAACATTTAAATAATAAAGCCAATAAACAATATTTAATATTGTAAATGAAAGTGGAAATATCCAACGTGAAATATGATCGACCGTATAGGCACGACGATGTTTTGATTGTAATAAAAATTGATTGATTGATTGATCAAGATTGAATTGTATATCATTACGACTATCGAATGTTGTTTTACGTTGATGAAAATATTTTTGATCTTTTTTTGGTGGTTTTTCATTCGAAAAACAATTATCATCATCATCAATATTAACATCAACATTATCATCATCAATATTACAACGATCAACATTATCATTTGAATTCGTATATAAACAAAATGATTTTTCAATTGATGGTTGTTTTGAATCAATTTTCTTCTTCTTTTTTTTAATTAAATTATTATTATCATAATTGAAAATTGATCCAATACGATTTCGTAATGTTGATCCATTAGTTTTAACATTATTATTTTGATGTTTGAATCGTTTATCATCATCATCATCATCATCATCATCATTGCCATCATCATCATCATCATTATTATTACTGAAATCATTTAATTTACTATCCAAATCTAATCTTGATAAACTAAGTGAACGAATAGAAGGCGGTAATTGTTTTGGATGATGATGATGTTGATGATGAAGTAATCGATCATTTATTCGTTGTTGTTGTTGTTGTTGTTGATAACGATTATTATTATTATTAACAGTTCCAGATTCTGTTGTTGAACATCGTTGTTTTGTTGTTGTTTTCGATACAGTTTTTCTTCGTTCATTATTAGATTTTATATTTGAAATTAAATTAGGATTTGTTGTTGGTGTTGTTGTTGTTGGTTCAAATGACCAATTTAAACCACCAAAACCACCATTTAATAATTCATCAGCCATTAAAATATTGACCAATGCATATTCCATTAATGATGCAAATACAAATACAGTACATGATGACATAAATATATCTATTGCTTTTATATATGATACAGGTGGTAATGATTTTTGTGATTGTGCATGTTGTGTTGATAATGTCAGTAATGATGTTACACATAATGTTACACGTGCTGGTACGGCTTCTGGTTTTATCCAAAATGATATCCATGACATTATTACAATCAAACATGTTGGTATATAAGTATGAAATATATAATAACCTAATGAATGATAAGGTAGAAATAGAAATAGAGAAAGAAAAAAACAGTTAAATTAAATTAAGAAAATATTTTGCAATAACTTTATAATCTTTTTTTTGGTTCTATATTCTGAATTGCAGGATTATTGGTAGCATCATAATTCTAAATGAATGAATGATAAATTTGATATAATTAATTTAATATTAGGATCAAAATAACTGAAAACTAACATGATATAAAGACATTAATAATAACAATAATAATAATAAAATGAAAAAGAAGAAAAAAAACCACATTAAATGTACTTTTCTTCTTCTTCTTCTTCTTCTTATGGTTAGTTATAATATATAACCAGAGGAGAAAAAAAAATTTTCTATTATTATTATTATTATAAATGATGATGATTAACATTTTGATTATTATTAAGGTTATTAAGTATATCAATTTATCAATGTGTGTATTTTTTATCGTTTGTTTTTCTCTTTGTCTCTCTCTTTCTCTATGTTTCATTATTATATAAAAAAGCACGTTATTATTAAATGATGAATTTGGTTATTGTTTGTTTTTGGTTTATGTTCTTTGTTTCTTTATCATCATCATCATTGTTCTAGGATAAGTTTTTGACATCTTAGAACAATAATTTTATCTACAAAAAAAAACATTATGAATAATGATGATGATTCTGTAGTGTTTTTATTTTGTTTTGTTTGTTTGTTTCCAACTCATATTGTTTTGTAAATCTATGGATTGCAAGAATAATGTATGTTTGTGTTTGTGTGTGTTTGGATATAGGATTCTCTCAAAAGAAATATAGATCCAATATGAAAATATAAAAAAACTTACCAAGTCTTCTTTTAATAGTAAATATTACTTGTACACAGGCAAATGTTCCTAAAAATAACAGAACAGAATTAATTAATCTAATTTAATTAAAATGGATTTATTATGAATGTTTTTGAATGATTGGAAAAAAATGAATGATACAAACCAGATGAATAATCAGTTGTACAATAATCAATATCTTTTCTGATAAGATCATGTTGTGGTAATTCAATATGTTCTTCAACAACTAATGGATCGGATTCTTCCCAATCAAAAACAAGATCATTTGTTGTATATGATACTGAAATAATTGGTGAATGATGTGTAGATGATGATGTGATGTATGATATGAAGGTAAAAAAAAGAAAACAAAAATTTTGTCATCATCATGATGATGTTAACGAAAATCCAATGAATAAATCATCATCATTACAATATTCAAATAATAATAATTATTATTATACATACAGGATTCAATTTTCATTGTACAATTTTGTGTATCATGTGGATAGGTTTGAAATTTCATTGCACATGATAATAATAATGTTAATCTAAATTTATTTGGAAAAAAAGTGAGACAACAAAAAAAAAATCATAAAATGATGAAATCAGAAACACGAGAAAAAAATAAATTCTTCTGTGATCGAAATGAATGTGTATTATTTGATCACATTCAATCGGTGAAACAAAAATTCTTTTTGGAATGTTTTTTGGAATTTCATTAGTTTTTGCCATTTTGATGCAAAACTTTTCTCTCTCTATGCTTCACACTTGCAATAATTTTGCATAAAGATGACGTAGAAGAGAAAAAAGTTTAAATTTTTTTTAAGCCCCAAATCATTCGACAAACATTAATTCGTTAGATGAAGAAATGTTCATTGAATAATCAATTTCAAACGAAAAGAGAAAAAAAATCTGGATTTCGAAAAAAAACTTTTTTTTGTTGCACTTACTTGACCATATATAAGATAGTGTTATCCGAATAAAGCCTTTTTTCAGTTTTGTTAGAATGAAAACAAAAAAAAATGTCAATTCTGTTGAATTTTTAAAATTGAAAATTTTTAAATAATTACCAAATATAATGATTAGGAATGGTCATTTCTTGAAAGGTCACTTCTTTTGCATTCTACATATATTGGGAGAAATTGACGAAAAAATTTTGATAAACATTTGTTGTTGATGATGAAAAAGTTTACCTTAAAAAATGAATCTGGTCTCCAAATTTTATCAATAAATGTTAATGGTAATAAACGATATGGACCACGTGGATCATTACTTGCATTAACATTGAAAACAATATCATCCGGTATTATTAAACGATTATCTTTCCATGATTGTGACATAAATATATCGGCTACATAAGTCTAATTCAGTGATTTTGATCAACATTATTCAATCAGGATGAAAATCAGACAGAAAAATCTTACCATTGAACCTTCATCAATAGAATCCAGGCCAAGTACCCAAACATGAAAACGAACTTTTGTTGGTTGTCCTATTCAGAGAAGAAATAATTGAAAATTTTTCAATTTAATTTTAATGATGAAAGAAAGTGAAAGAAGAAAAATCAAAAAAACTACAAACCATTATGTTTTGGTGGCATTAATTTATCATAACCTTGTGGTAAAAATGAATCAACATTAAATGTATTGTTTGTAATTTGTTGTTGTAATGTTGCTGTACGAATGTTGATTAATTTATCGGAAGATTTTCCATCACTATTATCATTATTATTTTCTGATTGTTTTTTCAATGAAATTTGTTTTCTTTTTCTTGTTAATTTGTTATTATTATCAATAATGATTGGAATTTTATTTGTTGTTGTTGTTGTTGATTCGGTTGTTAAAGTATTGGTCAATAATAATGGTGATATTGTTGATGATGATAGCAATGGTAATATTATATTTGTTGATAATAATGATGATTCCTGTACATTTGATTGATGAATATGATGACGATGATGATGCGGATGATGTGGGTGAGAACGCTGGTGTTGCTCATTAATCACATTTTTTATCAACATTTCCGGGCTTAGAATATCATCATCATTAGCATCAATAAATCTAATTATCATTTTGGGGGGAGAAAGCAAAACAATAAACTGTAAAGATTCTGTCAATCAATCAATCAATCAACATACCTGAATAATGTTAAAATAATGATTAAAAATGAAAATTTTTTCAATATAAATATTGAATGTTTCAATCTATTATAATGATCATTATCATCTTGATCTTGATCATTAGCCATAGTTGTTTTTTTCTACTAACCAAACAACATAATGATAAAAATCTTCTGATCGATCAATCATGTTTCAATAAGCCGCCCAAAACCAAAACTTTTAAGAAGTGAAATTAAATCTTGTAAAATTTGAAGTAGAAAAAAAAACGGAAATGGTAAAAATGTTTGTTTTTTCCATTTGACAAATTGTTGTTGTTGTCCGTTAGTTAGTTAGTTTTTTTAAAAAATCCTTTAACTATTTGAGAAGCAAAAATCATTTATTTCGTTCTGTCATTTACATCTGGTGTTTGTTTGTTTCCTGGTTTCAAACCAAAGAAAATAAATTAATTGACTGTATCAAATGAAAGGGAGGGGAAAAAACAACACATATTTGGGAAATATCGATTCAAATTAACCAAGGGTGTACTTTATTAATCAATAAGACGGTGGCGACATATATTATTTGAATTTCATTCAATCATTACATTCAATTTTTGAAAAAAACGCCAACCAACAACAACAACAACAAAAATTATTTATTAATTTGTCAATGGAAGTGTTTACATCATTATTTTTCTTGTTGTTCTGTCATTGTTGTCGTTTTTAAATAGTTAACAAAAATGTTACCGAAATTTTTCTTTCAAAAAACGTTTGTTTGTTTATTAAAAAAGATAAAGATGTTTTTGTGTGTTTTTCTGTCTCTTTTTTTCAAAATAGAATCAGATAAGATGCTCTTTTTATTTTGGTTTGACGTTTTTCAAATGTGACCTTATTGTCATTATTATTGGATCGACAAATGACGAAATGAGAATTGTGGATCGATCCAGTCAAACCAAAAAAAAAAGAAAGAAATCTTTGTTTGCACTCGCATCATGTTATTAATCGCAACAAACAAACAAACATTCGAAATCTTTTCTTTTCTTTCTTCCCTTACAGTTCTGGTATACCCAGAATATCGATATCGATAGAAATGGTTTTTAATAGAAAAAAGAAGATTTTAAAGTTTTTTTTTTTGAGAAAAAAATCGAAAAATAGATTTATTTTAATGTTTTTTTCTTCAAAAATATCGTCAATGTTGTTTGTTTGTCTGTTGTTGGCTTTTTTTCTGTTTGTTTTTTTTTTTGATTGGCTGCAGTAATCATAAATACTAGATTATCACACACACAGACACAGAAGGGAGAGAATCAGAGAAAATCAAAAACTTCAAAAATCGAATTGAATTTAATTCAATTCAATTTCATTCATATATGAATCAATTCGTGCCGAAATAGAAAATAAAATAAAAGAGAGAAAAAATGTGTGTGTGATTGAGAAAAACAGAATCGACAAAAATGATGACAACAACAACAACAACAACATGAACAATATTTGAAATGGAAAAAAAAACAAAAATCATTGCACGAATTCACATTTCATCTGGGTAATGTTATAATCAGATAAATAAAATGATGTTGTTGTTATAAATTTGTAAGTCAATTTTTATTGATCGATAAAAATTTATTTTCCCTTTTCCCTCGTTTATTTATTCTCGTTTCGTTTCGTTTCTCATTTCGTTTCTCGTTTGAAAAATGATGAAAATTTCTAATTGAATCAATGAAGGGAAAGACAACAAGAATCTGAATCGGTTATTTGGTGTGATTAGTTTTTTAGTTTTAGTTTTTTCATTTTAGTTTTCTGATTCAAATAAGGCGTGTATATTATTTTAAACATAAGATTTTTTTCGTTACAACAACAACAACAAAATAACAATAGAAAACAAGAAACAAAACAAAACAAAGTTTTTTTTTATCAAAAGAAAAATTTATTCAATCAAGCCTTTTTTCAATACAAAATTCATGTCTAAACATATAAATCGATTCATTTGGAAATCAACGAAAATAAATTGAAACAAGAACAAAAAGTGTGGGAAAAAACGAAAAATCTTTTCCTTTTTTTTTGGCTAAAACTTTTGTTAAATCACCAGACAAAAAAACTTTATCCAAATGAATTAATCAAATGAACAAAGTGACAAAAGTGATTTTTTTTTTGTTTCTGGATCGAAATTTTTTGCTACTTTAAACAAAATTCATCCAAATTGGCCAATTAAAAAACCTTCTGGCTAAAGTTGGTGAAAAACAAAGTGTTAATTTGTTTTTTTTTAAGTTACAAATAAAAAGTTTTTAAAAAAATGCAACTTTTGCAAAAAACAAAAAATGCAGAAAATCCCTTAAAGGCATTCGTAATCTCATCATCAAAATAAAATGATTAATGAGGTGCTGATAGAAAGCAAAAAAATTGGCAACTTGTTGAAATTGGCCAAAAAAAAAAATCCTGGAAAATTTCTCGAAAATATCGATACACAAATCGAATAGGGAAAAAAACCAAGTAAAGATTGATAAAACGAAAATTCATTTAACACTAAAAATCAATTAAGCAAGTCAATTTATTCTAGTTTTAGTTTTAGTTTTGTAAAGATTTCTTTTACAAAAAAAAAATACAAACTCTGTGTGTGTATATGATAATGAAGAAATAACAAAAAAAAAAAAAAAAATCATTAACATTTTTTTTTCTGGATTTATCTGATGGATGATTGTATCAGAATGATGTTAACGACGACGGAAAAAACTCCGTGACAGAAATACTTCAATGAAATGTTACCAGAAGTGGAAAAAAATTCCCAAATGGTTAACAACAACGGAAAAAACATTGTTTTTTACATAGGAAAACAAAAAATTCCAACTTTTCATTCATTCATAGTATCACAAAGTTAATCTTTGTTGTTGTTGTTGTTGAATTTCTAGATAACAACAACAGCAACAACCAGAATGGATGATTGAATGAATTCTGTGAATGCTTTTTGCTAACTGACATGTTTCACCAATAGGTATTAGTCAATATTATTATCATTTGTAAATATATTTTCACATCAATTTGTCTATGTATATCTCATAAATTTCTAATGAATATTGTAATAACCATTGATTCTTTTAAACATGTTTTTTTTGTTAAAGTAAGTTAGTTATTTATCATTTGTAAATACAGATTCTCTGTTATCATCATAATGGTATTAAATCAAACGATTAATTTAGCCCAAAAAAAGTTTTGAAGACAAAATTGCTTTTACTGGTTGAGAAAAAGATTCTTCAAGCTAGGAATTGACAAAATTGGAAGGTATTTTCTGGTTCTGGTTCTCTCAATCATCAGATTCTGTGATTTAAAATTATTAAAACTAAAAAACCGGAATCATTAGGGTTAAATGATGTTTATTTTTTTCCACCGAGAATCATTATCATTTAACTAAAATAAAATTTCATTATGAAAAAATCCGACAAACAAAAGCTAATTTAAAACAAACAGTGAAAAAAAGGCAAAAAAAAAATTACAAATAAAACTCGTAAATTACTTTATGTTTATTCAAATTGATATTTCAGCAGTGGAAAAAAACAAAAAAAAACTCAGGTCTAAAATTCTTCTTCTTCGCCCAGAATCAACAAGAATTATTTATTTTCAACCAGAAAAAAAATTCACATTTTTCTCCGATGACTTTATCTTCGGTGTTTTGTGTGTTTTCAACTTCTTTTCATTGCTATTTTTAAAAAAATTTAACGGCAGTTGCACCCAAAAAAAATGGGGAAATTGGTTAGAGAAAATTTTTCATTAATTTAGTTTTCGATTGAGAGATTATTATTGAAAGAAGAAAAATTTTTCTTCCTTTTTCCTTTTACATAATGATTGTATAATGGTAATTTTTGGTTTTTAACGGGGGGAGGAAAGAAAAGAAAAGGGAAAAAATATTCTTCTTATCTCAAATGAATTCATTATAATCATCGTCGTCATCATTTTCAAAGAATAAAAACTTCTTCTTCTTCTTCTGGTCGAAAGAAAAATCATTATTATTATCATTTGGATAGGATGGGTTCAAATTTCTATAGGAATATCAAAATACCGTCACAAGCAGACAGACATATATACCCATTTAGCCTAATGGGTGTTGTCATATTTTTATATTCAATTTTTCTTCGATCATCATTATCATTGACCATCATAGACTAGATTGAGAAGATATTTGGCCATAAGTAAATAATAAGTGGTGGTTGCGGGGGAGGGAAAAAATATTGTTGTTCATTGAAAGTGTGTTTGTGGTTGGTTTTTTTGCTCTTGATCATGTCAAAATCAGTCATATTAAAAAAAATTTTCTTGTTTGATTTCAAAAAGTTTTTTCTTGATATTGAAAGATTATTGAAAGATTATTTTGGAGAAAAAAAACCGATTGAAATTCTACGACAATACAAAATGATAAAAGTTTCTTAAGAATTTCAACAAAAGCAAAAAAAAAAAATTATCAAACAAAATGTGTTTGGCTAAGCAAAATGAATGAATGAAAAACACATTTTTCTTGGCTTCAAATAACCAATTGTGATTTATATTCATTCAATTCAATTCAATTCAATTCAATTCAATTTGATTCGATATTATTATTTGACATTCGATTCAATTCAATTCAATTGTTTTCATAATAGTGTCATAATTTGATACTTTTAAGTGTTGCGATGTTTTTTCGTTTGTCAAAATTCTATTTTCTATTATTGTTTTGGATAATAA